TTTCCCCCAACCCCTTTTCTGAAAATAGAAACTGGCCACCTTCCCATTTCAGCCTTTAAAACTTTGTTGAAAAAAAATCGTATTCTTTGACCGTGCTTTAGGTAAAACAATCTATAACAGTGCTTGACAACCTAGGCAACACCATCCTCTAGTGTGCGATGTGGTAGTCTTGGAGGGCGTTGGGATCTCCTGGGTAAAGTCAGGAATTATTCAATGCGCCACATGGAAATAGAAGTAGGTAGATGTTACGACGTTTTAATCCATCAAAGGTCACAAAAGGGGATGCTGGCTGCTAAAAGGTCGCCAAGGACTGATCTAGAAGAACGCAGTCCATTAAGGTGCGGAGAACTAATTAATATGGTTTGTGTGTAGAGGGATACAGGTTAAACGAACACTGTCTCATTACATTCACGTGTGTGTGTGGGGAGGGGGGGGAGGGGCACCGCTGGCTCAGTCGGTATTGCATTGGGCGTTGATGTGAAGAGTACAAAGAATAAAAAAGCGGAGCAGTTTTAGATCATTTGAGTCGTAATATAGATTGGAAAGTGTTTTTACACCTCACATGTCCAATTTAAAGGCCCAGTGTTCAAACCTGATGAATCCCAAGCTACTGGCTTGGAAATTAATCTATACTATGGAAAACATGGGCTCTCAGGCATTTCATTTTCCATTTAAATGCCAAACGTGACATCCTTTGTTTTTCTCTTGAACTCGCCATGTTTATGAATGGCCCTGGTTCGAATTCCTATTAAATTTTAGAGAATTTTAGAAATTGTGTTTCTTGCGGAGTTATCAAAGCTATCAATAGGAGGTTGGAGGTTGTCATTGATAAGTCCTTTATTCTTTTCGTCTTTTTAAAAACAAACACACTAAGCCGAACATTTCTGAATGTCAGTTATTTTAACGCTTTCTGTGTTATTCCATTTGCTTATAAAATAATATGTTACTGCATTACAAACAAATTAGAAATAAATCAGAGGATAAACCACACAACTATTTATTGTCCTTATGATAACACAAGAAATACAACATGTTTCTCACTCAAGTTGTCACAAATTTGTGATTAACCCACATAGATTGGTTGGAACAAAGGCGATATCTTTAAAAAATGTAGTACAACATTAAGGAGGTAGGCTCCGACCCTGCCTGTCAGGGCCAATCCGGGCTGAGAGGGATACACATCCCAGCAGAAGATAGATAAAAATTGTCCTCACTCAGGAATTGAACTCGAGTCTCTTGCGTATGACTACGAAGTGCCTTACTACTACACCACAGACGCTGGTGATATCTTTCACGCCAATATGATCATTACAAGATTATGTTTCTCGTAAGCTCTAACTTTGAGTGACCATCTCTTTAAGGCCGAGCATTCAGACCATTCGATGACACTTGAAGTTACGCTCTTTTGGATAACTTTAAAAAAAAGATGCATAGCTTCGTTGTTAATTCAGATTCTCCTATTCCGATTCTAATATCTAAAACTTGAAACGGCAGGCAATAACAGGCACGCTATAAAATGTACTAATTCGTGTTCTGTATTTGTGTGTCATGGTTCAACATGTGCAGCAGCATTGTTATTGGTAATCTGCGATTGGACATACATATGTGTTCATTACGCCCTTAGCAATGAATTATTTAGGGCCCCTTGGTTCATGTTTAATCCCATGAAGTGTTCATAACAAAAGGTTGGGATTTATTCCAAAGTTTGGTTGCTTTTGTTTTGCTTTTGGGTTTTAGTTTGTTTTGTTGTTGGTTTTACTGGAAGGGGGGAGGGGGGAAACTGAGGGTGGTGGGAGTCAAATTATACTTACAATTTTTTATTCATATTGCTTTTTCTTTTTACAACAGTGTAGAGAGTAAATACTTTAATGCAGAAATTTATTTCTTATGGGCACTAGGGGTTACTTTACTCAGGTCAGTTTGGGAAGATGTCAGGGCGAGGTCAACTATCTGTATTGATAGTTTAGGTACAACTGTAGGTGTAACTACCGCAGTGAGGCAGCGGACTAACTTTGTGCACAGACGATACAGCCGTTCATGTCCATCCGGAGTTTGCTGGGTGGACAGTTACGTGGTATGGCCGGACAGCCGTTGTTATTGGCGGAGGAGGAGCCCAGGAAAGATACACCGTTAGGATTGCTGTGTCCTTGACCTCTCGGTGGCCTCCCGCCATTTTTGCCTTCCTGGGATGACGACTCTGTGGTTGTCGCCCTTTTGTTGTGAACTGCGTTGTTTGCTGGCAAATGGTAGATGGGAATTTTAGTAATATTATTAATATAGCATTTCGACGACCAGCTGTTAGAATGTACAAAGCCCAAAATTTTTAACTTTATTTGTATTGCAGTTTCTTAATCAGTGGGATCGGTTGCATATTTTCCAGAAATATGTTGTCAAAATTTAAATCCAGAATGTTGAAAAACAATGAAAGTATGTAACAGTTTTTCTTTCTCTTCTGAGCCACCTTGCATATTGAATTTCATTTCTTCTCCAAAATCGAAGAAGGACTACTGGGGCAGCGATTTTAAAACAAACAAGAAATTTTGCTCTGAAATTGCTGCACTAAGGACACCAATGTCCGGCAACTATCTGTTTTGTAAGTGCTGCAAACAAGGAAATAGGTTAGCTCAGTTGGGATCATGTTGGACTGTGGAGTAAATGACCCTGGTTCGAATACGAGTCTGGGTATTCTTAACCTCTGGTCGTTTTGTTGAGGAGTCAAGGCCCCAAAGTGGTTTGGTCATGTTGGAGATGGATGTTAGATTCCGAGATCCCGCCTCTCAAATAACCCAATATGGTTAATATGGGCATTAAACCCATGAACAATACTTCTACTCAAACGTTTTAAAAAGTAAAAGATCATTACACAATAGCGAAATGAGCCACTTGCTTAAAATTTAACAAGTTCTATCAGCTATTTTTGGTCTTTTAGAGTTACTAAGACCAGGAAGTCAGAAAACAAACTATATCTGGTCTATGAAAATCGTAATATTTTTCGTAGTCGTTATCTAAATATTTAACAAATTGCATTAAAAAAAATCTTGACATGTTGTGAAACCCATTTTTTCACCGTCAAATTTCTCAAAACCAGACACTGAGCAGATAGAACATTGTAATTCTAAGGTGGCGATGTGTACTACTCGCTGGCAGTGTGTAAAGGGTTAACACAGTCACACATCACTCACCCGAACAGGAGCACTGGACACAGCCACCAGGGCCGATGACCAGGCACGTCATAGGACAGGTCTTGGGAAAGGCGGAGCAGCCGTTAAGATTCCCCGACGGTATGGGAGTAGTCTCCCGCGTTCCCTCCCCAGCCTCAGCTCCCGGACCAGGCTGATGGGCTTCCAGGTCGGGGTCACTCACAGCCCCGGACTCGCCCTGGAGGATGGGTCTGGTTAGCGGGTCCGGCCCGCCATTCGTGCTCTCGGCGCTCCCCGGTGATGTGGTTTCAACAGAGCCGGTACTTTTGGAACCCTGGTTTTGATCGGTGTTTGAAGTCGCACCCCCTGCTTGCAGACCAGCACCCATCACTTTGTTCGGCCTCAACAGCTTGCTAAAATCGAAACCTGACTGGAAGTTGAGATTCGACGGAAAACCGAAACCGTTGTCTGAAGTAGACGAAGAAGACGAAGAGCTAGATGATGATGATGATGATAAAGACGAGGAGGAGGAGGAAGACTGTTGCTTCCCGTGAGTGGCTGAGTCTCCCCCTTTATCCCTGCCGTCGGAAGAAGAGTCACCTTTGGCCTCCACTCCCATACTGGCTTGCGTCATCGGGCCAAAGCCAAAACCGTTATCCATGAAACCGTCGCTCCTGGCACCAGCCATCATGTTTGCGGTGCCACTGTAGAAACTCGAGCCACCACCACCACCACCACCACTACCACCACTTCCAGAACCACCAACACCAGAACCTCCAAAGCTGTGGCTCTGGCCGTACAGGTTCTGAGAGACGTCTGGGAAGCCCGCCTTCTGTCCTGAGACTCCGCCCCCTTGTGATTGCCCAGCCCCTCCAGTCCCGCCCATCAAGGAGGAAAGTTGCTCGGCGGCGTCCTTCGTGTCGAGTCCTGTCAGGCTGAAGCCCAGCTGCCCTGTAGAGAAGGAACATGGCGGATTTATGATATCAGTGACTGGGGGACTAGGAACAGCGGATAAGACCTACTGCAGAGAAAGGTCTGAGCGAAATTCAGTTTGGATTCCGAAAAGGGAGATGATGCACGAATTATATATTCGCATTACGACAGATATGCGAGAAAACAATCGAACACAAACAAGATTCTAACATTGTCTTTATAGACCAGGAGAAGGCTTTTGACAGAGTAAATCAAGCAAAACTCTTGAAGACACTCGAAAAGTATAGCGTCAGAGGACACATGTTAGATAATGTCAGAGCTCTATATACCAACAGCAGAAGCTTAGTAAAAACAGAGGAAGGCAATACAGACTGGTTCAAAGTAAGATCTGGTGTATGACAGGGATGCGTTCTATCTCCCCTCCTGTTTATAATATATATGGACACAATGACACAAGACCTGGACATTAAGTAAAAGCAAAATCACTGCATGCGAAATGTAATGTCTCCGCAAACCCCTTAACATCACAAGACGATACAGGCATAGAAATGAAGAAATAACAGCAGCTATCCTCATTGAGTCATGCCTGCATTACACAGAAAGACAGAGAATAAAATGGTCTGGCCACCTGTTACGTATGTCACCTGGCTAGCCAGCTTCGAGAGCCTACAACACCAAGCATTCAGGATATAAAGGAAGAGGAAGACCACGCAAAAGGTGGACCGAGGGTGTCAAGGAAACCCTGAGATAACATAATATCACACTTGAAAAAGCTTCAGAGCTGGCCTACCACAGAAAAGGGCATCTCCACCCCCAGCCTCAACTCATTTTTTTCCCTCCGCAAAACACAAATGAAACAAACAATAAAACAAATGCTGTTACCCTGTTGCCTTTACTTAAGAATGTACTGGAGAGAGAGAGAGAGAGAGAGAGAGAGAGAGAGAGAGAGAGAGAGAGAGAGAGAGAGAGAGAGTGAGTGAGACAGAGAGAGAGGGAGAGTGAGACAGAGTGAGACAGAGTGAGAGAGACACACACAGAGAGAGAGAGAGAGAGAGAGAGAGAGAGAGAGAGAGAGAGAGAGAGAGAGAGAGGGAGAGAGAGAGAGAGAGAGAGCGCATTACTATAGGAACTGTGCGCTGCTCTGCATACGTTTCTTGTATTATTGTTCAGCGCATTGGGCACTTCTTTGTGGAAATGCGCTATATAAATGCAATTTATCATTATTATTATCATTATTATTATTATTATTATTATTATTATTATTATTAGATAGTATAGAATGTGAAGCGCATAGAGCTTGCTGTTGAGCGGGGATTTGCGCTATACAAATACAATGTATTATTATTATTATTATTATTATTATTATTATTATTATTATATTATTATTATTATTATTATTATTATTATTATCATTATTATTATTATTATTATTATTATTATTATTATTACCCTGAGAGTGAAAGTTGAAGAGGTTGTCCACCCCGCTGAGGTCCGTCTGTTCTTGGCCACCGCCCGGAGACTTGGGGAACATCGAGTCCGACCTGGCACAGGGTACAAGAACAGTTTATTTTTTAGGAAGAGTTTTACCGCACTTGCAACACAATAAGGTCATGTAAATTCCGAAGATTAGTGTTGTTACAAGAAAGAAACAAACACAAGATTGAATGAGGGGAGATAAGGACGATAGATGTTTGATAGGCCAGGCAGAGCACGTGCCAACCACCCACAGATTTAAAAATAACGTGCTTTTTAATGTTGCTTTTTAATGCCTCCATTGCCACAATTGATAGCATTTAGTCAGAAGCCCATTGAAAAGGAAACCGTTACAACAAGATTTTAAAAAATCATCATAAATGAACCCTCTTAGTACCATAAGGTCTGCAGAATCAAAATGGCGGCAAGCTGATGTTTTCCCAGAACCGAATTATTTCAGTGGTGATCAGAGGTTTCCGGGGATGTAGCAAAGAAATTGCTTTGGCTTGGGATCAAAGCTACGTATTTCAATGAAGTTTCACATACAAAGACGCAGGCCGTCAGCATCTAATTCTAGATTATAATGTTCTGATTTCTAAGCCCACAGTAAAGGCGGGTGTGTCAGACCGGCAAAAGCCGCTATGGCTCTACAGCGGGTAAACTGGTAAACGTCAGTATGGCAATATAACGGGAGGGCCGGTTTAGGCCTGTTCGACTAAAAAAAAGGTAAAGATAACATATTAAAATGAATAAATGAATATTTACAATAACAAAATACTATTAAAATATGACAAAAACAAAAGTGAAACATTAATTTTAAAAGACAGGCTTCCATCCTGCGGCAGGGGCCAACCGTGGATGAGAGGGGTGCTATCCAAGCAGGAAGACAGAAAAACCCGATTGAAACCAAATATAGTACATAACAAGATAGTTCACTCCTCTCTTTGAGCCAGTTAAAAAAGCGTCTTCAAAATCCAGTGGCGCCCTCTTCGAAAAAGCGCATCTTGTGCGAACAGAGTTACCCTACTTGTATGAAAAAAATCAAAGTGAAACGAACACGTTTTTGAATAAATTAGAATTCAAATTTTAAAAAAAAAAAAAACGCATTTTTTAAAAACTGGTTACGCTGACAAAAAAAACCCTCTTCCGGTGGAAGAAGCGACAGTTTTCTTCGTTTAATTTGACTTTAGAATGAGAGGCGAGAGGTCATTAAAATTGTTTTAAAAAACCCTGTAACTCCACATTGAACTTACACGAACAACGGATGAACAGCAGACGATTTGCGCACGCAAGTAGGTGCTATTCCTACTCTTCTTCTGGAGAAACGAAAAAGAGCTTCAAAACAAAAAAACTGAGGCTTTATCTGAAACAACGACCCGAATTCTTCATCTTTTTAAAATATAAAATACTTTTCTTCAATCTCAACCACCTCAGTCTTCTTCATAATGATCTTAACCCCTCCCCCTTTTCTACTTTAAGAATCCAACCAAAGCTCTCTTTGTCCAAGACAGCTGAATCAATAAAATGCTCGATCTCACTGAGTTTAAAAAAAAAAGGAAAATAAGCCAAAGTTAGAAAATCTCACCCTCCCAACCACCACCTCCCCGAATCCTCGCTGTCTTTCGTCGTCTTCATCGTCGTTGACGTTGTTATCAAACTTCTCGTCGTTCTTCGTTCGCCGTCTTTCCTCATACTGGTAGATTTCTCACGAGTTTCGGAGGCCGACTCAGTAGTAACCTCTGTGACGTCAGTGACTGTTGACGTAGAAGCTCCAACAAGGACCTGGTCATTCCGTCCGCGGTTTTGATTGGAGTAGCCGGAGAGAAGGTCCTGGTTGTCCTGGCGCTTGTCTTGACCACTGGATGACCCGCCAGATGTCGGCCGGGTGGGTTTCCTGTCGTGGTCCCTAAGTGTGTCTTTGTCCGAGTTGAACAGTTTGGATTGTTGCCCAGATCCGGAGTGGGTAAAGTTGAGATGGATGATTTCTCCATTCGGGCCTGGAACACATTATCATAATTTGTGAGGCATCGTGGTGAAATTAGGCTCTCGTCAAAATATTGAAATCAAAGAAATCGGCAATTGTTTTGTTTTGTTTTTGGCCGATGGGCAATTATTTTCAAGGACTCTCAGGCTATGGAAGTTACCAAACGTTGGCAGACATTTTCTAGCTAATTTTACCTCTGAAACCTGACGACCCTGACCTCTTTCAATTGCACATATTTCGACTTCTATTCAACAAAGATGGATGTATTTTCTACCAAAGGCAAAGAAACAGGATTAAAGATGATACCGATGTAAACCCCATATGCCCAAAGTTGACGAGCGCCTGATTCTACCAATTTGTGAAACATTTAATAAGACACATGTCTGAATGAATTACATGAATCTCCATATATTATATTTGTTAAAGTTCGTCACTTTGGCCTCCTTAAACTTCCGAAACACTTAACTTTCGAATTTTTCAAAATTATTGGCGGTTGAGAATCATTTAAAGGGCGCACAGTTTCATTGAGGAGCCTGAAGTCACCTCTAGTTTAATTTTCAGATTTGCATTAGTTCTTTTTTCGATCTAATTTTGGGAAAGTCCGTTTTCTACGCCATTGTAAACAAGTGAGGTTTCCGTTCACCAGCCGTGAGCACTGTTTCCACACCTCTGAAATCCTGGGGTGTACAACCACGAAAGCGGAATAGAGAATCAATCTATACATCTAATAAAAATAATAATAGATAGCATTTGTATAGCGCATATCCCGCTCAGCAGCAGGCTCTATGCGCTTTACACTATATTATTACCCCAGCAGACCATAGAACACTCCGAAACATTCTCAGCTTCCCGGGAACCAATCAGGTGCAGATCGAGACAAAATAAGTCGGCACGATGAGCTCATCCCCCAACAACAACAACATACAGCATGGCTGACCTACAAAACTGACAGGCCGGACACAGCCGTAATGAGACACATTATCCTTCCTAACGGACGGGATCTACAGGGACTCCAGGCAGGACGATGCCCCGACCACACCGGTCAGACCAGAGTTTGGGCCAGACAGCCGGACGCGAGCACTGACCGTTGTCCATCACTGGCTACGGGGAACGGGAGGGGAGGGAGGGGCTGGAGGAGAGGGAAACAAAGGGAGGGGAGGGAGCGGAAAAGAAAGTGGGGAGGGGTGGGACGAAAGGGAGGGGTGGGAGGGGGAAAGAAAAGGAGGGGTGGGAGGGGTGCAGATAGATTGGACTGAGGTATGGTAGGGGAGGTGGGCAGATAGACAGGATAGAGATAAAGGGAGGGCAGATAGATGGGGCAGAGGTAAAGGACGGGGTAGGCAGATAGATGGGGCAGAGGTAAAGGACCGGGTAGGCAGATAGATGGGGCAGAGGTAAATGACGGGGTAGGTAGTAGATGGGGCAGAGGTAAAGGACGGGGTAGGCAGATAGATGGGGCAGAGGTAAAAGACCGGGTAGACAGATAGATGGGGCAGAGGTAAAGGACGG